AAATTCCTGCATCACATCTTGGCCAACATGTCATTGGAAATGACCTATGTCTGTTCAACGAGTACCATTCGAGCTATTATGGAGACAGTCTATAGTAAATAATATTGTCCCAACATTGCATGATATTATGGTATTTGGCATGTGCATGTGTTGGCCTATATCAGGAAGTGATGACCAAATTATGTTTTCCTCTTGTCCATGCCATAGACAAAGGTCACAGAGTAAAACATACCCACCATGGGCCAATATTGCTCAATGTAATACATCAGATTATCACAATCAAGTTGGCAGAGCTTGACAATGATGAAATCAGCAGGTTAATAGTAATAATTTATTGAGTTGTAATATAATTTTTAGACTCCTGAACTCTGAAATAAAACTGATATTTTTACTACAAATCTGCTCTATAGCTTTCTCCAGCTTAATGTGTCCTTACACTGTTGCAGTTCCAGTAAAGTTGCATTAAGAAAATTGAAGCATCAATGTCAGACATACTATGTAAAGCAAAAATGTAATTCTTTAATGGATAAGACTTTTGACTTCAAAATTTCCATCCTTTTTCAGAAAGGTTCTGTTTCAAAATATTATTCAAATATTATATTTTAATTAACCCTTCATACTGTTTGATAAACATTTTTTTAAGGTGCTGACAAGGAGAATTTGTTTAACAACTAAGAGCTGCTTTGATTGGTGATCATTTCCTTTATTCTCATGACCTTAAAATTTGTCGCAGGGTTGATATTGTAGGGGAAATTATATGCTGAAGTCACTATTGGGATTAAAGAGTCAAACAAAAATAATATTTGGATTAATTCTTCATGTAAGATTAATAAGTAACTCAGGAAAAAAAAAATTTGCAGCAAAAATTACACACAAATAACTTCAAAGGGATACAAACAATGAAATTCAATAAACAACAAAACTGATAATATGGCTGTTTGATAACAGTTTATTAATCACAAAAGCATTCCAGCTCTTCTATGCACTGTGTTTTGTATGAAACTTACATTTACACTCCAGTCAAGATTAACAAGTCTGTGTTCTAATACATATTACACTCTCAATACAATTGAAATCAGATACATTGTACTCCCCAAATTTGACTCTTGGTGATGGTTTCACCTACTAAAATATTTATTATTAAAAAAACTCAGACTGATGCTATAATTAAGCAGGAGCATTGTAATTTTTAAGCTACTTAATAAGTGTATGAAACAAATTAATGGATAACAAGGTTACTAATTTTCTCTCTTTAAATTTTTTGTTGCAGTACTCCTGTTGCAAGTTCTGCACATTTTTGCAACCATGTTGCAAGTTTTAAAACATTCTGATGGCTTGTATTATAGCCACCAACTTTAGATACTTGTATTTTCATTGATGATGTATGATGCTAATTGAAATGTGTGGACTGTAATTTGGTCTGAAATCATATTCCTGCAGAGGTTAAAGTTTTAGTGTTGCTTTCTATGACCCAATCAAGTGGTCTTATTCACAGCAGTGTTTGTTTTTTTTTGAGGAAGGGAAGGGGGGGATGTTATTGAAGCAAAGTGGTTGCAAAGGAGACCAGTCAAGTGGCAACAAAACCATCAAACTATCACGTGATAAAAGCGTGGGACATTTGTCACGTTGGCCAATCGATGTTTAGGATTTTTGAAATGTTAAATTCGCTCTTTGCAAATTATTCAATCGTCTATCGCTCTGACGAAGGGCTGACACTCGAAATGTCAGCCTTTTAACAATTACAGTGGCCAATTTACATTTTCAACTCAGTTTTTTAACACTAAATTACCTGCTAACCAGACAAAAGGTTGACTGATACACTCGAACGGAACTTGGCTGTATAATTACATTTTTTACCTCGTTGAGTCAGCTAGATCTGGATAGATTTGCGCCGGGTACTAAGCCCCTAAACCTTCCCCTAACTCTATGATATAAATTTCGCTATCGTTTCCCTGACACCTTAAAAAATTGTATAAGTCAGCACCCAACTTAAAGACAATTTCCTTGAAAACTAAAATTATAAATTTAATTAGTGAAACTGCTGTAAAAGAATTAGCAGGTCTGTCAATAACCTCTCATAAAAGACCTGCAAAGGAAGATGTCTTTCATTTTCTTAACCCTTTACACCCTAACATCAGTATGCATATTCTCCACACTATTCTTTATACATGTCCTAAGGTGCTGACAAGAAGAATTTGTTTGCCCATCCAAAGACTCCTTGCCCTAGTCTTTCAGACTATTCTGTTATACAGTTAGCTGCAAAAATGTTATCATTGAAAACTTTAAAAAGCAGCAAAGAAAATCGGAAAGAGCCAAGTAAGAGAGGAGGAGTCATCACTATCACCTGTAAAGGGGGGAGGGGTATGGGTGGAGGATTTTGGAAGGATCACTTGGTTTTCACGGTGTGAGAGATTATTCAGCGTTAATTGATTTCCGGTTGATTTTTTTTGCAATAAGTGACAGATGATTTAACGATAGAATCATATAATATATTTAAAGTTAGAGAGACTAGAGCGTGAGACTTGAGCGGTGTGAGAGAGAGGGAGATCAAGTGGATTTATAAAATAAAACGTGAAGTTTCGGAACTTAGCAATCTCTTTAGTCTCATTTTCGACAAGGGTGATGGTAGATTCTTGGAAGCTGTTTGTCTGATCTTATTGTAATTATTTTCGGATATATGACCTCTTCGTTTTAAGTTAAGCAATTAATCGGTGAGTTTTCGGCTCCGAAATGCATGGAGCATCCACCAAAGAACAAAGAACGTGCCAACGTAGTTCTAGACCCTAACACCTATCATGATTGTTATAAGATGAGAACATGGATCGAAACAGGGCCGTATTTTTACGACGCAGTCGATAATAATTTGATTTGCATTAGTCTTGCTTCACTAACCGCTGTTTGGGATAAGTTAGGAAAACTCACACCACCCTCAAATTTAATCAGATGCAAAACCTCGACCAATCGTGACTTGAATCAGCCAAGTGTTACAATTTTCTTTCCAAACAATTACCACCCAGATGAAATATCCACACCTAACGACTCAGAGTGTAGTCTTCAACCTTCAAAATGAGCTACATCGGTAGAACGAGTTTCTCTTCAGGACCTCGGCAGCAACATTAATAGAAAAGGAGAAGAGGGAGGGGATGGAAATAAGCCCGGGGGAGGGGGTGGGAGGAAACGAGGTCCCGTATATGGCCACATATGCCAATATCTATATCCGTCTCAGTTTCTGACAACTGTTTCTTACGTCAAACGATAAAATGCATAAATAATCAATCGTTGTTTTGACAGTTGCAAGTTTCAAATCCAATCAAATAAAAGTACTATCACGCTCTATAATTAGACCAAGGTGGCATTAGCTGGTTAATTAAGCTCCACAATTGATCAGCATTCTAACACAGTGAGTAACAATGTCAACCGCATCAATGGAAAAGATTTTAGTATATTTGGATCCAAAAGCTTTCAACAAAGTTCACTATGTGGCAGTGGTTTTTTGGATTCTGATCAGTGTCATCTTCCTCGCCATATTCGTCGACATGGAAAACAACGAGTCCAGGTTTGATTTTCGCTGTGGCGGAGCGAAGAGTGAAAACGTCGACATCGTCCGTGGAAAATGTTACGAGAAATATATGAATCAGTACAACAAATACGGTTTTCCTATCTTTGGCTTCGTAATCCTCAATCTAGTCCTTATTGCATTTGTATGTGCTATTTACTCTAAAATAGGGAGCGCCAAAGTCGATCAACTGTCGCGAGGCATCCGTAACGATGATCAAGAGAGACAGCTGCTTGACCAGGAGACTGCGTCATCAACTGGAAACAGGCTCTTTTTCGCTTACTGCTGTCAACTATTGTTAAGAATTGTTTTAGGAGTAATTTTCATCATCCTACAAACTCAGTTGCTTTATCCTTTAAAGTTTTACTCGAAGTTTAACTGTTATTTAACCGATGGAACCACTCAGCCGAGGAATTTATCCGACAACGCTCAAAACTCTACTTTACACGACTGTCACAATCAACGAGCGGAAAAGAAAACCTTCTGGATGTACGCTGTCCTTGTGATGAATGGAATTCATGTCGCTGGCATACTGGTTGAAACCGTCTACCTTATTTCGCGGGCATGCATTGAAAGGGGTTTCATGCAAGACTCAAGGTTTCTAAAAACCCATCTAAGACTCAACCAACACCAAAAACGAAAGTTTAAAAAATTCATCAAACGCACAAAGAAAATAATTTTTCAAGACACCCAAGAACTATTAGCACTCCAATCACCTTTTACAGGTAATCCAGGCGAAAACACAATAGTAAAACATTTGACTTTGGATCAAATTTAC